TTCAAAAAAATTTCAGACAACGCACTGGTGTGACGATTTCGAAGCGCCTGCTATCACTAAATGCCTGAAGAAACTCTGCGAAGAAGGCGTTCCGATTCAGTGGCAACAAATTTGCCAAATGATACCCGCATCCGGGTGGCAAGAGAAGATCCCTTTTTAAAGATCCCTTTTTAAATGTCAAAAAATAGACATCAATTATCCGATCACTATTGATGTCGTCTATTTTACGAAACGTTTCATATTTTATTAAATCTTTTACTGTAGTGTTTATGTGTTTTTTTCGACAAGTAAAACGTCATCTGCAAAAATAAGCATTTTGGATATCACATTGTTTGAATAAAAAATCCCTCTGTTGTTTAAAGTTTCTGAAAAATGTCTTCGGCTGCGATTATGAAATCTTTCGACAAAAAAAATGTTACTTTTGCATTGTCTTGCTTCACGCCATCTGCCAATTCTTACAAATTTAAAGGGCAGTCGAAAGGAAAGTTTGCCTTTTGCTATCCGGTAGGGGAATCTTCGATAAGATTGGGTTCTGCATTTTGAGAAAACTTACAGCAAAGTATTGTCTTCCACTGAGTTATTGCCTATTTCATGGAGAAAAGCAAACATAAGAAACTTGAATTCTCAGCATCTTAAATCAGTTGGCTTATTGCGAAAATGTATTCAACTGTAGAAAGACGCTTTTTGAAGCCTGTTTGTTCTCATTTAGAGCCTTCGAATAGTGAATAAATTATGCGCATAAAAATTTTGTGTTTTTATGAGTACGTGTGGATGCGTAATGCATGTGGTCACTGACGAAAACTGTAGAGCGAACAGTGTGGTTGTGACGGAGAGAGCAATGGAGTGAATGATGCTTTGGTACTATGATTATATGAAAAACCGGATCTATGTCTGATGTGTAGCCGTGTCTACAAAATAAATTTGGTGAACAGACCACGTTGCTAGCCTGGTCGATAACTGGTGGCTATTGCGCATTAGTAAGTAGTACTTGCGAGAAAGTTAACGGCCCTTAACGAGAGGAACTCACGTGTAATACTAAGTGAAGGCATGCAGCTTAGGATCGAAGGATTTGGCATAGCTGCCCCTCCCCCCCCTCCTCCCCCGCAAACCGGATTATCCCAGGAATATCACTTTCCTGAGATTTCATACTGTTTCTGTCCGTGCGGTCTTGTTATTCTTAGAAGGTGCGAACAGATATATTGGATGGTAACTGTTGATTTCCTCGCCATCTTCAATCCCGGGTAGCAACAACGTTCGATTCTTCTTATTGTGTTGGTGTGGTGAACGTGTGGTCAGATGCCAAAGCTTTGATGTGGTGAACGTGTGGTCAAATGCCAAAGCTTTAATTTGGTGAACGTGTGGTCAAATGTCAAAGCTTTGATGTGGTGATTGTGTGGTCAAATGTCAGTGCTTTGATGTGGTGAACGTGTGGTCAAATGCCAGTGCTTTGATGTGGTAAACGTGTGGTCCAATGCCAAAGCTTCGATGTGGTGAACGTGTGGTCAAATGCCAGTGCTTTGATGTGGTGAACGTGTGGTCAAATGCCAAAGTTTTGATGTGGTGAACGTGTGGTCAAATGCCAAAGTTTTGACGTGGTGAACGTGTGGTCAAATGCCAAAGTTTCGATGTGGTGAACGTGTGGTCAAATTTCAAATCTTGTCAGGAATGATTAGTCCACGTTGAAGAAGTGGTGGGGTTGACTGTGGTTGTCCCTCGTCACTGACTGCTGCCGTATGTTGCACCAAAAAATGCAGTGCCAAGAAGTACAGGATGTCCCAAACTTCTGAAACACCCCGCAGGAAAAAGAACCCCCCTCCTCCCCTCCGCAACACTTGCACCACTTGTTCACCCTCAGTCGATAAGACTGATGCCACAACTGATGATTCCCAGCAGCCGCCCTTCCTATTTCGTCCGCTGCGCTGGCCAAAACAGTGCTGCGAGAGAGGGGAACAAAAAAGTCAAAAGGAGTACCAAGGAGTGCAATTCTACCAGACCGATGAAGAAATCCCTCTTCCTCAGCTGGTGTTTTTCCCGACTAGTGGTACCAGGTTGATTGTGTGCGTCGGTGCGCTTGTGGTCTTTTCGTCTTCTGTTTCGGTTTTTCCCACGCAAATTGCCCAGCAGTGTTGCTTTTTTTCTTTTTTTTAA